ATTGCTTTCGAGCATATTGGGAAAATGTCTCTTTTCAATAACTTTTGAAAACTGTAGACCTGCTCTACCTGTGCAGCTCAGGCTCTACAAAGCTTTCTAGTGGGAGAATTTATTGGAAACAAGCATGTTTGGTTTTTTTCCCCTCCTTTTGTTCCGCAGGATACGTAATGAAAAATTCTCCAGTGTTGCCACTTAATTGCTTCATGGCTGTTGTTTGTCAATTTGCCAGCAGGTTTCTGCTTAACTGCTGCCATTTGACATTGCTGAAACACAAATGCAGAATGATTGAGTTGCCAACATATCATTGAGTCTTCTGCAAGGGGGGTTTTCAGCACATTAACGCTTCAGGCTTTTACGTCAGTATTGATTGCTGAAATAGAAAAGAAACCCTTGGCAGTATTCAGCATTGTGCCAACACACATTTACTGGCAGGAAAAAGAAACTGGCTGTTGCCATTGATTGTGACTTCATCCTTTCCTTCCTTCCTTCCTTCCTTCCTTCCTTCCTTCCTTTCTTTCTTACATTCTTTATTTCTCTACACACCCACACAGAGTTTTGAAATTTAATACATATCATAGCTGAATTCCAGTTAACCTAACAATAAATCAGCAGGGCGAATCGATTTCTTGATACAGCCAGATGCGGAGGCCGTTTAATTTTGCAGCCGCCTGTATTATGCCCAACCAGATTTCAAGGCAGCTCAGGAAGGGAGTGACGGCAGGCATCCCTCAGAGCCGGAGAGCAGGTCAGGAGCTGACTTGAAGGGAGATAGTGGGGTGGTGGTCTCCAGCGAGCTCCTTGCCGGCAGCCAGGCAGCCCCTGACTTGGTCCCTGGATGCAGGGGCGGCCAGTGTGGAGCCAGCCACCGTGGGGAGAGGAGCAGCACCATGCTGTTGGGGCCAGGCTGGGAAAGGGAGTTTCCCTCCCAGGACATAGTGTTGCAGAAGACCCTGAGATGGTGTCCCATGGCTGAGAAGGGGTTTTGGCTGAGAAACAGGGGATGAAGTGGATGGCGAGAGGGTAGGGTGGTGGCTTGGTGGTGTCCACCAGCTGTTGCTGCGGTGATGCCCAGGTGCAGGAGTAGCAGAGTAAGGAGGGTTTGCTCTGCTGAAGCAGGCAGCAAGAGGAAGGTGTAAGCGCTCCTACAGTTGCTGGAGGAACTTCTCAATGTGCTTATCACTGCCCACCACCAAAAGCCTCTGCTTTTCTTTAGTTTGATCCCTTAGATGACACTTTGCAGCCTGTCTTAGATTAGAAGATTTTGTAAGAAGAACTAGCTGGGCATGCTGAAGATGATGATCTCTGACTGAAATGCCACTGTATGGCAGGAAGAACTGATGGGAAATAGGACAGGGCACGAGGCAAAGATTTTGAACAGAAAAGGGCGAAGGCATGCTCACTGGTGGGGACTGAGGGGTTTGCAGGTGAGTCAGAGGTCAGATCTGGCTGATACCCTTCCTGTTGAATTGAGGGAGTCAGGTGAAGAAAATGGAAGTTATTAGGCCAGAATTGCACTGCAGAAAGATTTGACAAAGAGGGAAATAATCATAGGATCATAAGTATCACCTAACTGTTGATGAGGAGTGACATTATAACTAGCAAACAGCAGCAGTGATCGTTTGTCTTCTATTTCTGAAATATGCTTAATGCTACCTCCTTTCAGGTGTAAATAAGAGGAGCTTTCTGAATCTGATTTGCTTCTCTCTGATGGATTAATCAAAAGAAGGAACAATAGAAAACCTCCCCAAATCTGCTTCTTAGGGTCCCAGGTTTCATTAATATAATCTGATCACAGAAAGTGCACTGAAAGCTGGACCTTTTGGCCAGAAAAGCTTCAAGATTTTATTTTGGGGGTTTTTTTGGTGACTGTGATACTGAATTCCTCTCTTTCATTGATTGGAGCAGACACTTAGAACTTTAGAACAGGAAGAGTAGCTTTACATGAAAAGCTTTAGAGGACTCCATTATTTCTTTACCTCTGCCTGGGCCACAGTAAATACAAGCTTTACCTAGGATGCTTAAATCAAAATGGGTATTTCTGGCCTTATGGAAAGTCTGGGGAATGTCTCAATTACAGCAATTTTTCAACAGGAGAGTGTCTTTTCCACTAATCAACATGTTTATTTTTTTAAATGTCTCTACAAATTTTTAGGTTGAAAAGCTGTGGCACAGAATTAGAAAAGCTATAGATGATAATTGGAACATTTTATTTTGGAAGCACCTTCCCACTGGCAGTTGCAGTTTAAGTACCTTATACACAGATCTCTGTGTAGGACAGTCCCTAGATGACATGGTCTATAACTAAGCCCATGAAATAGAATAGGAACACAAACACCTAAACTGCTAATTCCCTGGGGTGCCACATTAGGGTCTCTCTCTCAAAAAAAAAAGGCAGATTTCAAATGAAAATTTTTGTCTTGCAGTTTGCTTTATTTAAAAGTCTGCATTTTCATCAGGTGAAGATATAAACAGGCACCTGAATCATCTCCTAGCCAGCTCAATTAATTATCAATAAAAGCCCAGCATGTGTTGCATAAGAATTTCACTGATGATGTGTGAGACTGAATGAAGTCCAGTTTCTTTTTCTGTAGCTCCAGGGACTGCTGACTTTTTACACAGTAAAATGAGGCTTGGGAAGAGAAAGTGGTTAAAAAGTAAAGAAAGTGATATGACCTTGAATTGCTACAAAGATCTTGGGAATAATAAGTCCCTGTCTAGGGTAAGCAATACAGAGAGTGCTTGCCGGGCTTGTGTCTGGATCAGCAGTGGTTCAGTGCGCACCTGGCAGAAGTCTTACTCGGTGTTTGATAGATTGTCTTCTCCCAGCATGAGTTAAAGTAATGAATCTTTTATTTCTAAATTACTACAAAGCTCCATAGTCTTTCGGCTTGATTTTTTTTTTTTCTAGTTTCAAACCGGTAAAGCAATCTATGCCTTACCTAAGGAGTTTGATGGTATCGTATGCTTAATCTTCAAAATGCTGGGGAGAGGGGCAAATCTTTGGTGTCAAGGGAAATAACCAATCTGCCGGAGAGAAAAATATCAGTACGATGCTACTACTGACTTGGCAAAGACTGTTTGATGCATGTTTTTGTTAGCTAGCTGCTGATTTTCTTTTCTGTTTTTATGCTTTTTTTGTTATGTTTGAAGGTGCTTCCAAAATACTGGACTTTAACTGGGTTCCTTGATTCAGCTACAGCAAAATCCAAAAGAATACAGAGAAAAAAGAGGAACTGTAAATTGGTAATGTGAAAATCGAGAGCTGGGGACACATCTGTATGAAATTAAATCCCTGTCCAGACAACATGGATAGTGCTCTGTAAAGCTGTACCTGTTTGACTGCCTCCTTCCCTCTGTGGTGTAGGCAACAGGTTCTGTTCTGCTTTCCAAGACCTGCACAGCTACTAGAGCCCTTCCTAATAAAATGAGTAAGTTAATGCCTGTGTGTGAAGGTGCACTCAAGAAACTTACTTTTTGAACAGCGTGGTATCTGCCTGCCACAGCCACCATCTGGTGCCCAGAAGCAGCCAGAGGAGACTGCGCTGGCAGGCAGAGCAGACGGAAGGCTGATACTTCTCCTCCTGCCGAAAGATGCAGGTGTAAGAGCATAAAACCCACCCTACCAGAGCAGGTCCGTTTAATGTACCCATTGGGATTGAAAAATGCCTCTGCATGTTGCTTTAACAAATAGCAAAAAATGTCATCCCAGCACTGCATTTTCTGGCTGGGGTGAGGAAATGGAGTGTTTCCATCAGGCCACTCCACCTTCTCCCTGAAGAAAGCATCCGAGTGCTACTCTTATGCATAGAAATGCCATCCAGCAGTACAGAAACATCTGGGGGAATACCAGGTTGTTTTATTAAACATACCTTTACTTTTTCACTGGTCCTATAGGACACCCCATTGACAACCAGCATACAGAGCAGGGAGCAGACTACTTTTAGGCATAGGTATGCAACAGAAAAGCAGGTCATTTTTATAAATACATCTCGGAAAAAAAAGCCTCCTGTGAAAGGTTGAATTTACAGGACCCCTTTAGCATCCCCTGTTGTATACATTGCTACATATTTGTGCTGCGGCTTACAAGCCGACTCTTAGCTCAAGCTAAATAAAATTTAAAAGGTCATAGGATAATACAGCAATACACTTTTTCCCCACCAGTACGGGTTAAAGAACTATTATAGGGCCAAAGCATCAGGCAGCTGTGTCCAACCCCTCACTCTGTAGGGATTCAGCAAGAAGGGGAGCAAGTATCCCCTTGGGGAGGTGTGGCTGGAGAGCTGTCTGGAAGAGAAGGATTTGGAGGTTCTAATTGACAAACAGCTGAACATGAGCCAGCAGTGTGCCCAGGTGGCCAAGAAAGCCAACGGCATCCTGGCTTGTGTTAGAAATAGTGTGACCAGCAGGAGTAGGGAGGTGATAGTCCCCCTGTACTCTGCACTGGTGAGGCCACACCTGGAGTATTATGTCCAGTTTTGGAGACCTCAATATGAGAGAGATATAGAGGAGGGCAACGAAGCTGGTGAAGGGCCTGGAGAATAAATTCTATGAGGAGAGATTGAAGGAGCTGGGACTGTTCAGTTTGAGGAGGAGAAGGCTGAGGGGAGACCTCGTCACTCTCTACAGCTACCTGAAAGGACATTGTAGAGAGCTTGGTGCTGATCTCTTCTCACAGGTGATTAGTGACAGAACAAGAGGGAACGGCTTTAAACTGCAACAGGGGAGGTTCAGACTGGACATTAGGAAAAGAAAAATCACAGAAAGAGTGGTCAAACAGTGGAATAGGCTGCCCAAGGAGGTGGTGGAGTCACCATCCCTGGAGGGGTTTAAGGGTCGTTTGGATGAGATGTAGGGGGATATGGTGTAGGGGAGAACTTTGTAGAGTAGGGCTGATGGTTGGACTCAATGATCCCAAGGGATGCCTAAACCAATACTTCCTCCAAAATATTGTCCATGCAGTCGCAGCTTGGATGAGACAATCTTGTACTGGGCCAAAGTGAACTCTGGGAAGAATTCTTCACAATCAGGTAGTTTCCACTGAATAGGTTTCTCTTTTCTATCATACCAAGCTATTAACTTTTTAGGATTTTTTACTGTCGTGCTGTGATTTTTTTTTTTTTTTAGTTTGTTTCTTTCTTTAATGAGAATGAAAGCCTCAGAGCTGTTTTTAGTTCTAAAAGAAAGATTTGAGACATTCTGCCTATTCTGCTTTTCCACAGGGACATTAATTCATAAACAACAAAGAATATTATGACTGTTTACAGTAGCCCTCAGTGAACAGTATGAGACTTGGGGATTTTGAAAGAAGTAAGAGTATTTGGTTACAGAATCAAAAGCTAAACTAAAAGCTTCAAACTCAAAAATGTTTAGAGTTGCTCAAACAAACACAATGAAAAATTTTCAACTTTACAACTTTTAGAACCGTATGAATCTTCAAGCTTGTTTTGTTTTGTTTATCTTCTGAGCATCAGAAACCAAAGCAACTCTGAAGGTCAAAATGTCTAATATTTTACCTTTAGACATGTCGAGTTTTACTTGTTTAAACACATAGTCCTGCTTACATAGGATATTTTGCAAATTAACAGATGCTGCTTGATGGTGTACCGCAGGTTTCAGCTGAGCTTTGAGAACCGCAGTGCCTCCTCTGATGTAACACTCACCTTCTCAGTCTTACTATCATGCGCATACTATTTTTCCTGTAAGATCCAGGGCATGGCATTATGTAGCAGTCAGCTGCAGTCATTGGGGTAATTTGGTCACAGATGATCAGTTTGCTTCCAGCTGAAAGTGACTTTAAGAAGGAAATGAGTGCTGGTTCAGGCTTGCTTAAAGATGTTGCATATTTTGTTTCCCCAGAGTGTTTCTCAGCTTCCCTATGGCAAAGCCCTCTACACATATGAGGGAAAAGAGCCTGGTGACCTCAAGTTTAACAAGGGGGACATCATCATACTGCGGCGGAAGGTGGACGAGAACTGGTACCATGGGGAGCTCAATGGGAACCACGGCTTCTTCCCTGCCAGCTACATACAGTGTATCAAGCCCCTCCCACAAGCTCCACCTCAGGGCAAAGCACTTTACGACTTTGAAATAAAGGATAAAGATCAAGACAAGGACTGCCTGACCTTCACCAAGGTAGGGGAATAGGGTTTTTTTTAAAAAAAAAAAGTCTGGAAAGCTGCTTCTGTAGGGACTGATGGGGCGCAGTGGTGCGCTGGCAGCCGAGTCTGGAGCACAGTGGTCCTGGGACCAGTGGGACATCTGCCTGGCCTCCCTGGGCAGCTCTGCCCTGGGAGCCCCTGCGCTCCATTTGTTTCTTTCAACTAGTTTCTTGTGTGAGTAAATGGAATTCCTTGAGCTCAGACAGCCCAGTGGGGACAGGCTGACAGGGCTGAATTTCCTCTATTAAGTGGGACGTCCCCTCATGACATGCTGAAGGACATCAGCTTCTCCCAATTTGTCTGCTCAGTGGCCCTGCAATGTCCCACGCACCAGCCATGATGCAGGACTGGGTGGGTGTAAAGCCTCCCCTTGGGCCAAGCCTCATGTTAGCATCATGGGGAAATTGCTCCCATTTTGGCTAAAGGAGAAGCCAGTGAGATACCTCGTGCTGTGTACAGCTAGGTTGGTATACAGCTAGTGAAACTCAACAAGTAAAACTGGCTACACGCTTTCTGAGAACATTTTTCTGTCTAAAAAGCCTACATTTCATCTGCATTGAAATGTTCTGCAAGAACGACTCAATTTCAGAAAAAAATCTAATGGAAATGTGTCTTTTAATGTTCCTTATTGAATCAGATGTTCCAGTGTTTTAAAATGCCATTCAGCTTCAAAATGGATATTGCATCACACCATATACCAATTAGCAGTTGAAATACACTATCATCATATATCACAGTATTTCCTATTTTAAGAACATAAAGACATTAAAAAGCAGACATTTAAAAAACAGTCTTTGTTTTTTTAAAACCAAAATGTTTAATAAATTCCAGTTGGAATGAGAGAAAACTGAGATATTGTAATTTCCTCTGGATTTAAAATGTCACGTTTTCCCTTTCTCCCCCACCTCCCCACCTGCTTTCTGTCTCTCCCTCCCCTCCCTAGCAATTTGTGTTGACCTTAGATGGGCTTCATGGATATCAAGAAACCCACAGTAAAATAAAGCATATCCCCTAACGTTAATTTACGGCACTGAATGCCATGGAGAACCTGTTCATTGTCATTTTCTGTTTTATTTCAGCTGTCTGTGGTTGTTATAGTATCACATAAAGTAATAACAGTTATGCTGGAAATGAATATGAAATAGATGATAAAAATATCCTTCACCAGGATTTTACTGACCTCCTCTTTTGAGGCTACTTATTATAGCTGAATGAATTATTTGCAGCATATAATTTTCTCACCGAATGTAACATCTTTTTCGCTCATGCAACATTTCTCAGCAGAACGCAATTTCCTAGAATGTATGCTTTCTCATATTTATTTAACAAAAGATTTGTAAGCACTTTTGCTCTATAACCAGCGAAGTGTTTGATTACAAACACTGCAAACCCTGTGACTACCCAGCCTCCCTGGAACTGTGAATCTGCAAGAAAGTGGGCTGCTTAGTGAGAAGTAGCAGCCATGCACCAACAGAAAGTTAGCCAGAAGTTACCTTTTAGATACTATCAGTAAATGTATATTTTTGGGCATGTTGTTTTCCCCACGGCTTGCCAAGAGGTACAACGGTGACTTCTCTGAGAAGTAATCTTCCTTGGCCGCTTAAGTTATTCATTGCTTGCTCAATCTAAGAAACTTAATAGGTATGGCAGGGACTTGTGGCCTTTTTCGTTGGAGCAGGTCCTTACCTAGACACTTTTGTATTTGATATTATTTGGTGCCATATATTAGTATACCTCCTTTACAATAACTGTCTTTGTATACTGATAGTTCTCATTTTCTTGGCTGCCCAATGTCATTCTCACATGGACCATTTCTTTCTGCTGTATAGCTCTACTCTCAATCTCTCCATTTTCTTTTTTTTCACCCCTTGTGTTACTGTCTGCATCCTTTTATCCCTGATGACTATGTTTTCCCCAAGGGGGTTTGGTTTCTCTTCTACTGCTATTTTCTTCTTTAGCTCCTTCCACTACACGCACTGTCACCTTGTAACTGTTTTTATGTCTTACCTATTGTTCTCTCTGACAGTGAATAATGTATTTTTCATCTAGGACTTTACTGTCATATTTTCATCAGTTTTCTCAATGCTAATTTTAGCTGTCACCTGCACTGATGAAGGTTCCTGTTTAGCCCAGATTTTAGATCATCTGCTGATGCAGTCAGTTCCTCTGCACAGAATCATGAGCACTGCGTTGCTGTAGTTGTGATTTGTCACTTGGAGCAATATTCATCATTTGAATGTCTCAGTTTTCATCTGAAGATGCTGGACCTGATCTCAAGTTCATTTATGCTATTTGACCTTTCCTCAAGTAGAGGGGTTGCACTGGCATTCCATTTATACAAGCTAGTATAACCCATTTGTGTCCTGCAACTCATTTAACGGTGCCATACACTTGTAATTAGATTTTACATATAAACTTACAATAAAGTAGAATTTTCCTTTGAAGAGAAACTACAAGAAGGAAACTCAGTCATAGGGATCTTCTGTTGTTTTGTTGCTCTTTTGCTGGACTTTGCTTTTTCCCATCCCCTTTGTTACAATGCAGTCAGAATATCTATTGGTGCAGTAAAAGAAAACAAATGAAGGATGCCTGGGGTTTTCTCTTACTAGTCTGTGGGATTTTGCCAAAATGAAAATATTCTGTTGTTCCAGAGGTGGACCTGCAAGGAAGTGGTCTGCTTTATGGTGATCTGTATGAGCAGTGCTGCAGAGAGCTTCTGCCATTTACCCATTTTCATCTCCTGTAAACACAACACTCTCCAAATGACAGGCCAAAAATAAATCAAATATAAGAATTTTGTATGTGTAAGTGTAAACTGGAAGGGACAGAGAAACCTGTCTTGAATACCCAGCGCAACAAAGTTCCAACCTCTTATTTTCTTACACCATGTGGACTGGTCCCCCTAACTCCTCCTGCCAAAGTAGCTGTATATACAGGTATAGGATCCGGCCATCATTCCCTGCTCTGTAGTCACTACAAGAAGATGGAAAGTTCCTGACATGTGACTTAACATATTTTTCTCAGTGCTTAGCAGTGATCAGCTAATCAGTTGATTAGCAGTTATTTTGCTCTCCGTAACAATGGATTCCAGCCTTGATTCAGTTTTGCACCGGTTTAAGTCCAGCAGTTTCAGAAGTGTTACTCTTGATGTTCACTAGTATGGTTGCAATCGGTGTATGGCCTACAGGGTCTCATTCTATGCCTTTGGGATATATTCATTTAACTCAGCTTTCTGATGTCTCCTTATTTGATATGCCAGTATAAGCCTGGGCTCCTGGCTGTCTCTGTTTTAAAAAATAACCCATCCTCCCCTGGGCTCTGTACATTCTGGTACAAGCCATGTGAAAGAGGACTCTGCTCTCAGCTACAGCCATGCAAATCTACAGTCATTGCTTAGTGTCTGTTTGTGTAGTTACTCCAGGCTTAGACTGAGTCCAAATTCAGCCCACAGTTTTGTTGAGGTGTTGGATCACCCTTTGCATGTATGAGTTCACATAGTCTGTTGAAAGCTCAGTGGTAGATGAGTCTCAAACCTGTCAAGGTAGTCGGCGGTTTCCCATGCTTTATTGCTCATCACATTTTTAATCACATCAGCTATTTCCTTCATCTTCCAAAGCTTTTGTTCCCAGCCCACAGTGGTGTTTAAGAAATGTTGTGCCTATCTTGGAGCTGTCATGTCCAATACTGGTTCCTGGCTGCAGCGCAGCATTCCAGCCCCTTAGCGCTTAATTCTGGCAGCATTTGCTGTTCTCAGAAGGACCATCCCAGCAGTAGCTGGTGATTGGGATTCTCACACCAGCTGGCAAGTGTTGTCGTTGGGCACAGCAAGCACCATGCAGTGCTATCCTGCCATCACTGAGATCTCCCCAGTGCTCTAGATGCAGTTGTTATCTCTGCAGAATAGCAGTTGCATCTGCTTTGTATTGCTTCATTAATGGCCATTAATGACTAGAATCAAATTCAGGCTGTGAATCATGACTGTTATTGGACACAGTTTTGTGTTGTTTTCTCAGCAAAAAGCTTCATTTCACCATCAATCAGATTGCTTTTTAAGTGATTTAGCTTTGACTTCCTTTCTGATAATGGTTATAAACTGGAACTACAGGTCCCACATGCCTGTCCCAAGGCTGCACAGGCCTGATGAATAGAGAGAGAGACTTGAGCAAGTAGGAGAGAGCAAATAATTAGAGACTTTAGCAACAGGCATAAAAAGAGCATGAGGTATCTTTGTCAAACTACAGTGGATACCATTGGCTTTTGAAAAGAGATTTGAGGCTTGGATTCCTTTATGCTGCCTGGAAATCAATTTAGTACATGTGAAATAGTGAAGTTCAGAAAGTTGAAGTGGTATGCCAAGAGATCTGTGGCTCTTTACTATTCATGATCCTTTTGGGAACCTTTCTAGGAATTTATAAGTAGCACAGCTATCCAACTAATTTAAGGTACTAAAATAGTTCATGTTGAAGCTTTCACCAGCCCACTGTACAGAATGATGTCGTGGGCTGTGAATTCAAAGACACTTTCTATTAATAAAGAATTTCAAAAGATGTTTTGGGATTTGCTGTAATTCCTGCAGATTTTCAACACCCTTCTGAAAATGAATTCTGTGATGTAAAGCATTCTCAAGGATTTGCACTTTGCTCTCCCAGAAAGATACGTATTTTGAATGTCAGTGTATCTCAGGATCAGCAGCTATATGATTTTCTCATATATGACCACATTCAGCAGATTTGGCTAAGCTGAGCTAAGATTGGTGTATGGAAACACTTCCCCATTTCATAGGTCCGTAGAAGGTGAAGTTGGAAGGGATGTGCAAAGGTCACCCCTTCCCTGCTCCATCCTCGAGTAGGATCAACACAGGATAAACCTTTCCTTGGAGACTGCACAGTGTCTCTAGCAAAATCTAGTCGAGTACTTCTGGGGTTTTACATTTTTTTCTTAATCTCTTATCTTACATACACACACACACACACATGTACATGTATGTATACGTAAACATCTAGTAAAAGTGTAGACCCATCACACTTTGGGTTTTTAAAAAGTCTTTTAAGACAATAGATAAACAAATACAAGGTAGGAACACTCACAGCAGGTTCTTGAAGCGATGCAGTCTTTTATTTTCCTCATTTACCCCCTTTACCTAGATTCTAAATTTATGATAATTGGTCTTTTGTAAGAGCATGTGGAAGCTTTGCGTAGACGTATTACTGTCAGCTCTTTACACAGATCAAAAATGGTCTGTTCAGACAGGGCTTTGGAAGGGAATGCTCTCTGTTTCTTCAGGAAATTAAATGCACAAATTCTTTTTACTTCCTTCCAGCTGTAATAAATAGCTGAAGGACTCAGTCTGTGGCTGTTTCTCTGAGCATTCCCCTAATGGATCATTCAGATGAATAATTCAAAGAAAACATTTAAACTATTTCAAAGTGCATGTGTTCAAAATGTACATGTTCAAAAACTGCAAAGTACATCAGATCACATCCCTGTTCTGGTCATTTTCTATCAATGTAAATCCACTGTCTGAACATTGTGGATCGGGCATTTGAGGGGTATTTTTGTGTGTAAGAAGTATCTGCAAAAAAACAGCTCCCCTTGCCTGACCAGTTAACATGGTAGCTTGTTACATTGTGGTGACAGACCATATAAATCTCTTATTTTCCTAGAGTGAATGGTAGAAATAAGTGAAAACAGCAGGGAACTCTATCTCAGCTTTCTGGAAGAAGATGTTTTCTTCTTTTTTATAAATTTCTGCACAGGAACAGAGGAAGATTGTATGCCGTGAGAGAATGAATGGCATCTCAACAAACTTTGCATCTTCTCTCAGCCCCCTCCTTTCCTCTGGCCATAGGAGGTCCAAGCCCTGCAGAGAGGGCTGCCTTCCCCAGCCTTTGGAGCAAGTGGAGCTGGCCCAAGGCTGGGTTTAGTGTGATAACCCCAGCAGACAGACATGGTAGCAGAAATCCATTGACAAGTGAGCAGCTCAAACTGGGAAAACCTGATGTTTGGTTCTAGTCACCTGAGCTTTTGTAATGACTGGTATGTTCTAGGTTTTAACTCTATCAAGAGAAACTTTGAACAATATGAATCTTATTTGTACTTTGCTTAATCTCCTGTTTTATAATCACAAAAGAAGATCATCATCAGCTGAAATTTTTGTAAGATCCCTTATATTAAATAGTAAAGTGCCATAGGTTCTAGAAACGAATTTGTATCTAAACTGAAGCTGATCCAACAGTTGAATGCAACTTGCATTTTATCATGTTATCCTTGGATTTTTACCTGCTTTGCACTTTTATACTTTTTTTTTTTAAAAAAAAAAAAAAGGAGAACAGACATTCAGTGCATCAGCAGGGTAGGCTAGTTGCTGAGCACCTCGTGCTATACCTTGTGCTTCTTGCTGGAAGTGTTTTCCAGGACTACCTGTGCTCTACTTATGCTTCCCTTTGAATTGTCTTCTGGAACAGCCAAGCGCCACAGTGGCCTCTTGGATGCACTGGCACAACTTCATGCTAGAGTTTTCACCTTTGGGTTAGAGGTGACCTCGTGGGTCAAATGTTCTCCCTGTCCTTGCAATGAAGCCAGGAGTTACTTATTCCTACCTGCTGCGCCCAGGCACTTGGAGCTGCTGGCAGCTGGTATGAGCTGCACTGGTCTGCAGGGTGCTTCAGTGGATTTTGGATGGGATGCCTGGGGTGGGATGCTGGACCAGAGATGCTGCTGGCCCAGAATTTAGGGAACATTTTTATGTGACTTCGGCCTCCTCTCTGTACTCTCTCCCTAAGCCGTGATGTAGGTAACTGAAAACTGGCATCTTTCTACTGAGAAAAATCTGATTATATATTTTGTGTATTTTTGATTTTAGGATGAAATTTTGACGGTCATCAGAAGGGTAGATGACAACTGGGCAGAAGGAATGCTGGGTGACAAGATTGGCATTTTCCCTATCCTCTATGTTGAAGTAAGTTCACTACAGGTTGTGGTGGGTGCTTCTCTTGACATGTTGACAGGGGTTTTTGTGCCCACAAGGGCACCTTGAAAATTCTTAAGTGAGAAAGACAAATTATACTGGAGTAACTGAAGGGAATTTTTTGTTGCTGTCCCCTAAGGCACTGTGAAGATACACTCAATTCAGTTTAAAGTGGCCAGCAAAATGTATGCCCTGGACGACTGCTGAAGGCTCCAGGTGTCCCCTACCCCAGCAGGAGCTTGGGCAGCTCCACACATCTTCCCAAGGTCCCTCATTCCCTGTGTGCCAGACCCTCCTTGTCCTGAGCACTTCCCTGCCATCATTTCCACAGGAGGCTTATTTCAGAGTAAATGCTGAGACCTCACGTCCTTTGAGCCAGACCCATTGTGCCACCTCACCCCTCTGCTGTGCCTTCCTGCTGATGCCCATCCAGCTGGATGCTGTATGGGAGAAGAGCTGCAGCCAGAAGTGGTGGCCTGTAGTGGCCCCGCCAGAGCAGCTCTGTTGTCCGGGTGCCACATAGTGCCTTCAAGGAGCTTTCCTCCTTCATGGGTAAACCAGAGGTGCAAAGAATACATGAGCATCACACATGTATGTATTTTTTCGAGGTGCTGCCACTCTGCACCAGTACTCAGAGCAATATCACCCTGACTCTGCTCCCAGGCGTAGGCTGGTGCTGCTCTCCAGAGTGAAGTGTCTCTTGTGCCCACAGTGGAGCCCTCCCTACTGCATGTGGCTCTGATGCCTGCCTCCAAAATTACTTCTCCAGATTTCTTAGTTAATGATTTGAAACAAAATAGAGATAATTAGTGCCTGACTACCTAATTATTAACTTTGACAATGACCAATTTGGAATAAACCATCATTAATATACATTGCGTTCCCACAGTTGACAAGAACAATAATATTAAAACCAGAATGTGTAGGAGCCATTATTGGGAAACCAGCTGCCTCACATAAGTTAATGACTAGTTTTCCTTTATTCTGAACACATAAGACATTTTTAGTTTATTGTGATTAAATGAGAAAGCTGTGTTTCTCCCAGATTTCATCCTTTTCCCCTTCTCTTTCTTGTCCCTGGGGAATGCTATGTTACTGTCCTGAACTTTGCTGCAGAAAGAGTGAATTGGGGACCTCTGTGCAGCCAGCCACTTTTGCACCCCACCTTTCCCCCGTTCTAGTTTCACCTGCAGGCTGTAAGTGCTTGCACTGCCTATGCACTGTACAGCATCCTGATCCCTTTCCCACCCATAGGTATCTGTTGTCCTTCTGAGGACAGGCTGAGAGAGTTGGGTTTGTTCAGCCTGGAGAAGAGAAGGCTCTGGGGATACCTTATACTTCCAGTACTTAAAGGGGGCCTACAGGAAAGATGGGGAGGGACTCTGCATCAGGGAGTGTAGTGATGGGACAAGGGATAATGTTTTTAAACTGAAAGAGGGTAGATTTAGATTAGAAATAAGGAAGAAATTCTTCACTGTGTGGGTGGTGAGACACTGGCACAGGTTGCCCGGAGAAGTTGTGGATGCCCCCTCCCTGGCAGTGTTCCAGGCCAGGTTGGACGGGGCTTTGAGCAACCTGGTCTAGTGGAAGGTGTCCCTGCCCATGGCAGGGGGTGTGGAACTAGATGGACTTCAACCCAAACCATTCTATGTGTGTGTGCATATATATTAATACACAGATGTATGTAAAAAATACAGCTATATACTTATGCATCTATTTATATATATATATGCATACACACATATTTTATCAATATAAATTTGAAATCTGGAGGCTTGAAAGGCCTTTTCAAATTAGGTACTTGGGTGACATGGACATAATATTTGTGCCATGGTTTGTAAAGGCAAAGGGAAATGATCCTCGAGACAGAAACATCAGCGACCTATTTCATCCATGTCCTGGTGGATGGAGGCCTTGTTCTGCATGTGAGATGAGCTTATGCAGCTATTGGAGTTATACAATTATGTTACTATTGTTGTCAGCCTCAGATGTTGCTTTACACTAAAAATTAAGAGGAATCAGCAGGCCAAATCCCAAAGAAATTTTGAAAATCTCAATGCCAATGTTTATAAAATAAATCCATTAAAAAGTAGTACTTGAATCTAAAAATACTCCTTGAGTCTGTCCAAGTCCATTAAGTGGTTTTCAAAATCTTGGCAAAATGTGCAGGATAAGCGAAGCTTAACTCTTACAGTAGTCTTCCACTTGCATGAGCCGATTGGTGGAAGCACGTGGGATTCTGCATGGCATCCAAAGCCCTGCACTCAGGATGGAGCAAATTCCAGCCTGGAGCTCATCTCTAATGTCCTCAGCTGCTCCCACAGCCCAGACAAGAGCTCTTACCCTTGCCACAGCAGCCAGAACGTTAGAAAAAAAGCGTATCACTTAAAGAATCTTAGAGCTGAGCATGCCAGAGCTAGAAATGGGATATAATTCTTATTGTGGTCCCCCCTTTGGTGAGCCTTCATCCTGGCAATATGCTGTTGTACTCACATGGATGCTCTCAAGAAAGTCTTTTGCAAGTGCTGTTACAAAGTGTTTGCATGTGTAAGTTACAATGGGATGGCAAGGATGGGTATACCGCTGCCCTGCTGGGCTATCAAACAATTCCTCATCAGTACCCCAGTGCCCCCCCAGCACTTGGGCTTGTCAGTTGACCCATGTGAAAGCCTGCAGCATCTCCCTAGGTTCATTCATCTTCTTTCCACCCTGTGCTTACGGAATCTGAGAGTGATTCACTTCTGGAAGGGATTCCTGCCTGGGAGGGCAACTTTTAGAGCCACACTGTGGTGTCACAAAGCAGTGGCACAAAAAACTAGCTGAAGACATCAAAATATATCTGCTCCCTGCAGTGTTTTAGAAAGTCTGTAGTGTGATTGTCCATATAGCCATGTAAGTGTAACAGGTCATGGATTTTATGCTTTATTCGCTACAAGTGTCCAGCAAGGGTGCTTGCATGCCTGCTGTGTCTGACAGCTCTCTGCAGAGAGGCTTTTTCCTGCTTCTGTAGTGTCACCTCTGTCCCAACCTCAGAGAAGCTACAATCCTTTAAGGAAGAAATATTTGTAGCTCACAATGGTGACTTTTACAGAATGAGTCACACACAGTATGTTCTGTCAGGGAGAATTTGCATTATTTTTTTCTTGCTTTGTTGCTGTCCTTTGTCTCCAGTAGAAGTCATTTGGGCTGATAATTTATGTTTTAATTTGTCTACAGAAAAACACAACATAATCAAATTGATTCTCAAGGTGCCTTCTGTCCTGAATTAAACATCTTATTAATAATCTGCATGGTTTGAAGTCATATTCTTGCTGGGAGGGGTTTTGGACCTGCAAGAAATTCAAAGTCCTAACTAAATTTCTTTTATTTTACTGTCTTCAAGCTAGTTCTTTCATTCTTAGTAACTGCTGTTATTATCTCTGGAAGTTGTAAGTGTTGTGCTGCTATGTGTAAAATTGAGAATAATGAAGAATAAAGTGTGTCCTAATAGATTTAAATGTCTGAGAATGAAATTTGAGGGCAGTAGTGTGCTGAATATTTGAGGGACGCATCCTGATCAGATGGTAAGGAAAAAAAAAAAAAAAAAGCTGAGCTGTTAGACCAGAATTTCTGACTGTACCCCCCAGTGCAAAGAAGTATTGACCGAGATCAGGAAGCCTTACGAGTCAGTGGTAGAGCAAGGCAATTATGTCGAGCGCTACTGTGACTGTAATATCAGCAAATTACAATTGATGAAGTGCCAGCCCATTGTTATAATGTTTTATGGCAGCAGGGGCACTGAAAGCTGTGATTAAGTAATACTAGGAGTTTTAAAATTCTTTTTACAGAGCAGTGAAGCTGGGTAATGGGGATCTTCTCCTGTTCTTCAAAGTCAAAAAGGGAAAAACATGGAAAGGAGGTCTAGGAAAAAGAGGGAGGAGGAGAATGGGCAGAGCTGATGGTTTCAGTGCCCTGCAGCACAGATGCATAAGACTACTCAGAGTCCGAGGAGAAAATAATTCTTGCAAGTCAGTGTTTAAAAAGAGTTCAGCCAAAAGTGAAAAAATAAAATAAAATAAAAAGCAAAATGCAGTTCTTAAAGAAAACAATGATTTTTTCATTCCAAAATTAGCTTTGCAGAGCAGAGCACCACATCTAACGATTTTGTGCTGTACCGTTGGATCTACCAATCATCCTAAAACAGCTTAACCCATAAAAGGGAACCTGAGCACATTTACAGGATCCCAGCTGTGGTCACTGTATAGTGTAAGGGAGACCTGTCTTCCCAGCAGAAGCTGTCCTTAACTGTGTAACTATGTACTTTGCTGAGGGTAACCTTTAGTTAGCCTGCAGATGAATGCAAATGGCTGAGAATTTAGTGTGTGTCTGTGTGTTCAGCTAATTCAAAGACTTGGAGGTTTCCAGGAGGAAATGCAGGGAACCTCTCTGAAGAGAGCAAAGCCTTTCCCATAGCCCAGTCTATAGACCTGCTTGACTTTGCGGTTCTTCAGCACTTTCCTGGTGGTGTGGCCCCCAGTCTGGCCTTCAGTCTATATGCAGATTCCCATCTTAGCCATTTCCAAATATCATGGTGTCCCCAGTGGCACTCATCACAGTTATATTCTTGAAAACTCAGATGTGTGCATGTGTGTATTTCTAGCGCTAATAGAGGTTTTGACCATTTTCGGCAACATAAGGAGATAATTGTTGCCCTGTCTACTTCTTGTCTATGTTTTCTCTCTCTCCTCAGTCTGGTTCCTCCCTTCAGTTGCAGGACAGATGGGTCCCTATGGGACTCTCATAATTAATTCAACCTTGGTGTCTGACCCATCATTTATATATGTGTGGTCGCTGTGGCAGCACACTCTGTGCCTTTCAAAGTATCCTTTATGAAATGCTTCCACAAAAAAAAGGAGCTTTAGACGGTCATTAGATAGCAACATTTGTTTGGTGCCCTTTCCAAAAAGAACATACAATCTCTGTTTTTAAGGACTGTCAAAATGGTTCAGTTT